ATGATACTACGTCCCTCTCCACGGACCTTACTATTGGTTTGGGCGGCACGCCGTTCGCCTTGTCGGCGCGTAACGTTCTCATCGGCGTCGGCTGGAGCGCCGTGCCTAGACTGTATTAGTTTGACCCTTCGGAGCTCCAATTCTCTTGCCTCGCGTATAATATCATGTTCAGTGGAGATAGGGGGAACGGGACCTGCACGGAGGGCTGCTGCGAGTTCGCCCCTGCGCGGGTCGCCAGGGTATTGCAATTGCATGTCGATTTTGGTTATGCCGCTAACGCGATTGGCGGCCAATCCTCCCGTGCGCCTACGGCATGTTGGTGGACAAGTCATGGTACAAGTACTATACGGCGGACATGTACAACTACACTCTACTCAACAGAACCACCATGGGCGTCTCACTCGCGCTTGATTTCGCCGCCGGTGAGGCTGCGTGTCCGGCAAAAGGACAGCCGCCGCCTCCGGACTATGCCTGCGTCAGCGGCAACAGTTCTTGTGCCAACGCAACCTTTACTCCTGGATATATCTGCAAGTGCTGGGACCATTACGCTGGCAACCCTTACGTCCCTGACGGCTGCCAAGGTACGCTCATATGATTACCTACACACGACAGATTGTCCTTACCTGCTCGTTAACTCCTGAAACTGTTGATTCTTCAGACATTGACGAATGCAAGCGACCCCAAGTGTATCCCTGCTCAAGTGGCGCAGTCTGTAGAAACAGGCTGGGAGGCTACGACTGTCCATGCAAATTCGGATTGAAAGGAGATGGCAAAGCTGACTGGAGGTAAGTTCATCATTGCAGGTGGTAAACATTTTATTCGTACTTCATTCATAATGCTGCAAGTATTTGTAGTACAAAAACAAGTAGAGGAGAAGTGAAAATTTTATGATGTTCAGCCCCAGAAGCCGAGTGAAAATGCAAAATAAAAAACTTAAGCTCTAGTTTTTTTTTTTTTGAAAAGGGGGTTTGCCCGTGCCTCTGCATCGGAACGATGCATACGGCCATATTATTGACTTTTCAAACATGTTTTGAGTGAGGAATAGAGCTAGCGTTGATAATATCCAAATACTGGATTTAACCGAAAACTCACCATTCTTAGTTAGTTTCCAGCGCAACTGATCGGGTTGTTGAGAAAGGTGGACATCCATCAATCTTCTCACAAGATGGAGCCAAGCTTCGCAACGGTTTCCCGCTAGCATCCACCTGAATTGAATATTAAGAGGATTGGACTGTAATACTATTGCAGCGTAAGCGTCTTTTCGCTGAACAATATTATAGAGAGAAGGATATTAGAGTGCAAGGGGCGTCTCCCCTAGCCATGTATCCTCCCAGAATCTTGTGGAAGTACCTGTTCCAACTACAAATTTTGTCCTATTAAAACAGACTGATTTCACTCTCATTAGTCCTTTTCAAAAAGGTGAATCAGTCGGCCTTACCATCACCTGGGACAAGGTTTTGGATTGAAGGTACTTGTTACGCAGAATCTGGGCCTATGTGGCATCCGTCTCTACAGATAACTTATACAGCCACTTCCTAAGAAGACATATGTTCTTCACCTCTAAATTTTCAATGCCGAGACCCCCTTGATCTTTCGGCCTACAAATGATATCCCATTTAGCGAGTCTATATTTTCGTTTTAATTCATCGCTCTGCCAGAAGAAGCGCGATCGATAGAAATCTAGCCTTTTCCTTGTAAGCTTCTTGTTCTTCTTTAGTTCTTCCAAAGCAGAACAATTCACTTTTATGAAAGTTAATCTTTAACCCCGACAATTGTTCGAAAAAGCACAACATAAGCTTCATGTTTCTTGCTTTAGCCAAATCATGCTCCATGAAGATGATAGTATCATCAGTGTACTGTAGGATAGACACTCCTCCGTCAACTAAATGAGGAACGAGGCCACCTACCTGGCCATCATCCTTAGCCCTTCCTATTAGGATTGCCAACATGTCGACCACTATGTTGACCAGAATCGGTGACATCGGATCTCCTTGTCCCAGACCCTTGTGTGCCTGGAAGTAATGACCTATGTTATCATTCACTTTGATCCCAACAATCCATTTTTGCGTAAAAGAACCTACCTGGTCCCTCCAGGACTGATCGAATCTTTTCATACGCAAGGCCTTCTGAAGAAATTGTCATTTTACCTTATAACTTAAGCTCTAGTGCATGTAGTAAACATTATCTCGATATTTGACTTAATTTTTTCATCCTTGCAATTAGCCTTTTCGTGAGTTAGTGGACCATTAGCTTTTGCTCTTGCCACCAAGACAGTCAAGAGTGTTACCAGGGTTTTATATGAATCTCCGCCCTGCGGAAGGAGTCGCGGGGCGAAAGATGGAGTCGGGAAAGTCCTCGAGGCCACCAGACAGGCCCACCATACGCCTATGGGGCGACCATGTGGCCAGGACATTGTGGGCCCACGGGCACCGCCTCGACTTTCACTTTCTCCAGAAATTCTTATTCAACGCAAAAGTTTCATATAATTTGTGTGGAATTTTTACAGTCGGTTCCCTTACCATATCACATTGGTACTCTTTTTCAAGGTTGTGGAGTCTTGCGCAATGCATTTTCTGTGTACTAGACTGGTGTAATTACTTCTATAATGTCTGTATCCACCTCTATGGGCCCTCCGGCAATATAAAGCTTGATTCTTTGCCTATTAACCACCCTCGGTTTATCACCGTCGGCATTGTTGATATTTATAACTCTGGATCGGTAAACATCTTCGACGATATACGCTCCTTCCCACTTAGAGAGAAATTTGCATACAAGATGTATGAAATGGGACTTGTCAAAAGTACTCTATCACCAATGTTCAATTCTCGATTTTGACTTCATTTATCATACCATATTTTAATTTTTTCCTCTAAAGAACTTAGCATTCTCATAAGCTTCACTTCTTCATTCATCTAAAAAACTCATATCTACCTTCTTTTCTCCGCCAAGCTCAAAATCAAAGTTAAGCTCTTTAATGACCAAATAAGCTTGATGCTCCAACTCAAAAGGTAAATGATATGCTTTTCCAAACAATTTTATAAGGTGACATCCTAATGGTATTTTTGTAAGTAGTCCTTTATGCCCAAAGTGCATCTTTCAATTTCTTAGACTAATTCTTTATGGATTTATTAATAGTCTTTTGCAAGATTAATTTGATTTTTGTGCTATTTATTTCTACATGTCTGCTAGACTGAGGATGATAAGGTGGTGCTACTCTATGGTTTACATCATATTTAGCCAAAACTTTTCTGAAAGCACCATCATTCATAAGGTAACAGGGAATTCCAAACCTCGGAAAGATAACATGTTTAAGTATCTCAATACAAGTCTAATGATCAACACTTTTATTTGGAATAGTTTCTACCAATTTCGTGAAATAATGAATAACAACTAAGATAAGTGTTACTGTGTTAGGAAGGAAAAATCTTATATAATTAAAACTATAGACCTCAAAGGTTCAATAACAAATGAATAGTCCATAGGAATTTCCTAAAATCAACCAATATTACCATTTCTTTAACATTCATCACAAGATAGGATAAACTTAGAAGCTTATTTAAAGAGAGTATGCCAATAGATACCTGATTGTAAAACCTTGTGCGTAGTTCATTCTCCAACATGATATCCGCCTTACGGACTGGGGTGACACTTCCGTAAGATTTGTTCATGCTCGTGGTCATTTATAAATCGTGTAACAAATAACGTCTACTCGTTCTTTATATAAACTAGATGACCAATTGCGTTAGTGGCGCATAAGCTAACTGTAGACAAGAAGTTTAGTGAACTATTTAAAACTATAGCCCAGAAGTTAAATGAACTATTTGACATATTTTTTCCCAACTTTCTGCAAATGATTGCGTTCATACTACGTTTGTATTTTCGTTGACGGTGATCATTCATTTCGTACGCCGAGTACCTCTGGCGAGGTGTTGTCCAATTGGTGGATAATTCTTACTTATTGGGTCCACTTTGTCGAGGTCCAATCTAGGTGTACTCTGTGTCAAGTTATGCTAGCTACCTCCAGCAAGGTGTTGCCGGGCATGGGGATGGACGTTACTTTATAGCTAAGATGTGTGTTGTTCTGCCCTTGGCATATGTCGTGTCAGGTTATGTCGAGTACCTCCCCGGGGTGGGGGGGAGGGTTGCTTTCCGGTTCCGATGTGACGGCCATGTTAGCTGTGATGTTGGTGGTTGGTGAATGTGTGTGGCGAGTTATGTTGTTTTCTTTTTTAGTGTTGGTTCTTTTGGTTTGCTCTTTTCTTTCTCCAGGAAGATTTGCCTTTTCTTTTCTTCCCTGGGCATATTATTTTTTGCCTACGATCCGCCCTTTTTGAAGCCTCTTGCCTGCAGAGAGCAATAGTTAATTCACTAGCTACTCCCTAGCAAGTTTCAGATGCCTATGCGACTTTCAGATGCCGTAGACTCTGTTTGGTCTTTGTTCCCTCTTGATTGTGTTGTGACAAGTGAGTATTGGGTTTCCCAGTGGGGCGGTTCCACCTGTTGGTGTCGTCCAGATCCAGATGAGATTTCCTATTCGGCCTCTCAACATCGTTGGTCCTGGTCGTTTAAAGTATTTTGGGATGTCTGCCCCGCTTCCCGTCACCGTGGGATTTAGCCCTTTACACTAACCTTTTCTAAACATGGATAGTTCATTATGTACTCGAGTCATAAGAGACATACTGCATTTCTAACGTTTAATGTGGTTTGGATTTTCATCATTATTCCGTATATACCAATAAAATCCTGCCCATTTGCCACTCAAAATTTCCCTACTCCAAATATGCAATTGAATTTTGCAATAGGTACATATACACCACTTCAGTTGTGGTATTTTAGATATTACATACCGATTTTTCTGTTTAAGTGATAATGAAGATATGGCATGTGAAGTTAATCCTTTAGTTATGTAAGTAAGATGCTATGTTAGCTAGTTATACAAAAATATTTCTTTACTTTGAAATTTTGTAGGCCTTGCTGCTTTAGTTGTGGTAATTGTCCTCATGGTTGTGGCACATCAACTCCTCAAACTCAGAAAATTCTATAAACAAAATGGTGGTCCAATACTAGAAGGTGTCAAGAATATAAGGATCTATACAAGCAAACAACTTAAGCAGATGACAAATAACTACAGGGTTGTTATTGGAGAGGGCCATTTTGGTAAGGTTTATATGGGGACTCTAAAAGACACACAACAAGTGGCTATAAAGAAGACCATCAAAGTTAATGAAGCTAGCAAAAAGGACTTCATTGCTGAGATTATAATCCAATCTGGAATGAGGCACAAGAACATTGCCAGGCTCTTAGGTTGTTGCTTAGAGATGGATGTTCCAATGTTGATGTATGAGTATGTAGTGAAAGGGAGTTTGTATGATGTTCTGTTCAAAAGCAAAGACAACGTTCCAGTGGATACCCGCCTCAGGATTGCCATTGGTTCCGCCGAAGGCTTGGCATACATGCATTCAGCAGTGGAGAGTACCATCCGTCACGGTGATGTTAAATCTGCTAATATACTTCTTGATGCAAGATTCACCCCAAAAATTTCAGACTTTGGGACCTCAAAGCTGCTTGCAAGAGGAAATTCTGTGCAGACGGAATGGGTCACTGGAGACAAGGCTTACATAGATCCAGCATACATGGTCCATGGGATAGTTACACAGAAGAGTGATGTATACAGCTTTGGAATTGTTCTCATAGAGCTTATCACAAGGAGGGTTGCAATATATGATGACAATATGAGTTATGCAAAAAAATTTGTTCTAGCTTGTCAAGATCAAAGAGTAAGGAACTTTGTTGATAATGATATTACAAGCGAGAATGATATGGAGATCCTGGAAATGGTTAGCAAAGTCGCTCTGGAGTGTCTTAAACTTAATCCTGAGGAACGCCTAGATATGACGCAAGTAGAAAACCGTCTCCGTAATATAGGGCAATCTGAATAACATGGACAAGAGAGGATTTATCAGGGAAATCTTGGTCCTCCAAGTATGGAAGTTCCTGCGCTTAAACCTGTGGAGGACAAATCTCCTACCATTTAAAGAAGTAATATCCAGTAGTATTTTATATATTTCATATGATTATGTAATAATTCAACTCTGATCGAGTGTACTCCTTTCTACTCCCTCCGTTCCGAATTACTTGTCTTTGATTTGTCTAGATACGGATGTATCTAGACTCATTATAGTGCTAGATACATCCGTATATAGACAAATCCAAGACAAGTAATTTGGAACGGAGGAAGTATTTGTCTAGTCTGCACTAAATTATGCACCAGTACTTGTATAATTGAAGTGGACCATAGTGGTTTTGTGGTTTTCCAAATCAGAAGTTTTATTACTCGTTTCAATATATCTATTCTGTACGAGTAACTTAATGTTGTACCAGTGCTTCAACTATAGTTGAAGTAGATGTAGAAGTGCATGCTCTATCCAATGCAACCAAAAGACCGATCTGATGGAAGAGACTAGGCAGCACATTATACTACGTCAACACTCCCCCTCACGTGTGGCTCCCTCAGGCCTAAACGTGGACCGAAAGTGGGCTGCAATTTAATTGCGCCAGCCGGGTCTTGAACTCAAGACCTCTTGGCTCCGATACCATGTAGAAGTGCATGCTCTACCCAATGCAACCAAAAAACCGATCTGATGGAAGAGACTAGGCAGCACACTATACTACGTCAACAGTAGATCCTTTCATGTTTAATTGTGGTTGCTCGCCGTAGTCCAGCTCAAAGACTAAAGTGAAATCTCTTATCCCCAAAATAGTCAGATGTTGTCTGACTGACATGGAAAAGAACACATTCAGGTCGACGCCGAAGTACCGAACTAATGAAATGGAACGCATACAAACTGAAAGATAGTGTGAACTGCAGCTCATTCTGTTTTCAAAACCAGAGTGACTAGAAAGAGAAACGGGCAGGTGGTCATCGCGGTCGGGGTGGCGGTTGCGGTCGCTGTTAGGGTTTGGTGGGGGCAGGCCGCAGCGGTTTCTTCTTGCGCGATTTGGATTAGGCCCTAAGCTGGCTGCTTTATCTATTTATAGATTATTAGATTACAATTTATTTGGACTAATAGCTAATGGGCCTTTTAGCATAGAGCAGCCCAACAGGGGGCGATAGTACATGATCTAACGTTTCACCAGCCACGTACGCCAGGCATTTCCTATTTAGCGCTACAGGCGCCGGTTATAGCTGTTTCCGTAAACCGGCGCCTGCAGCCGCGTTAACTGGGCCTGGCCCATCTTTTCCTTTCCTTCCTGTCGTGAGGACAACAAAGGCGCGCTCTGGATGGGAATCAATCCCGCGACCTCATGGTGTTTCGCCTCATGCACTAACCACCGCACTAACCCGTATTAGTTGACTATAAACTACTGCTTCTTCACCTTTTCTTCTTATGACGATTCCTTTTTCCTTTTTATTCTAAACGGTTTTGTTATGTTTTTTGTTCTTTTTCTTTTTTCTTCTTTTCAGAACGGTTTTATATTTCTTTTGCTAATTTGAAAGAACTATTTTTCAAAATCGGTGAAATTTCTTTTCATGATCGATGAACTCTTTTTCAAGATTGATGAACTTTTTTCTAAATCGATGAATTTTTTTCTAAATAGATGAACTCTTTTTCAAAATCAATGAACTCTTTTTGCAATCCATGAACTTTTTTTCAAAGTGGATGAACTCTTTTTCAAAATCGATAAACTTTTTTTTCAAAATTGATGAACTTTTTTCAAAATCAATGAACCTTTTTTCAAAATTAATGAACTCCTTTTCAAAATAGATGAACTGTTTTTCAAAATTGATGAACTTTTTTAAATTCGGTGAACTTATTTCAAAATTGATGAACTCTTTCCCTATTTGATGAACTTTTTTCAATTTTTGTGAACTTTTCACCAAATTTGATGATTTAAAAAATGGATGTAGGTTTCCAAATCTGTGAACTTTTTTGAAATCTTGATTTTTTTTATTTTTTTTGTGATTTTTTTGTTTTACGTTTTCATCTTTTTTCTAAAATCAACGGTTGACCAGTCAGTCAACTGGTCAACCGCGACCGTACGAACAGCCCTCGAGGCTCTCGATCGAGCGAGGGACCAGGCGGGGAGAGTTTAGCGAGCGACTGGGCGTGGTCGCCACATGGGCCGGCCCATGATTCGGTGGCTGTGAGCGCCAACTCCCTTAGCTGGCGCCTGAAGCGCCAACTAGGAGCTCCCTGTACGTAAGGCTCCGGCCCCTGATAGATTTCCTGCCCATTTCTATCATTGTTACTAGGATTTGTGTTGGGAAGAGATTACGAGAGCTGTACTCCGGATAGTCAGAGGGGAGGAGAGCACGGAAAGCATTAATGATACCGTCCTAGTCTTGATCCCGAAGGTGCTCAATGTTGTTCTCCTTGGTCACTTTAGACCAATGTTTTAAATAACGGGCTATAGAAAATAGCGGCGGGCCTCCAAATCAGCTATAGCGGGTTAAAACGGGCTATTTATGAAGGCGATCATTTAGCGGCACCTTGCTGAAAAGGCTATAACGGAGCTATAGCCAGCTATTTAAAACTATGCTTTAGACCCATCGGTTTATGCAACTACCCTACAAGCTTGCCTCCAAGTGTTGTTGCATATTCGCGCCAACCGAGCGAGAGAGAGGAAGGGAGGAAGATGGATTCGCGAGGAAGACGATGAGCTATACTGACAGTGTCTTTGCGCTGCTAACTGTCCGCAGCTTTTCTGCGCTTTCTGTTATTTATGCAGAGCTCAAAACGATCTGTCGATTACAGGGTAAATCACACCCACGCACATCTAGCCTACTGATCGTGCCATCCCACGATGCTAAGTTCACGCGAGTCACTACGCCGCCGTAAACCCCGCTGAAGTTTCATGCCATCCCATGAGAAGCGGTCTTGCTGGCGTATCTACAGCTATCTACTAATTGAACCAACTGAAAGAGAAAACGAGGCAGAAACGGACGTGGACATGCACACGCTACCGGCTCGATTATTCAGCTAAGAGAACTTGTGTAAAAATGAAGCTAGCAACGGGATTACACATCAAATCACCCCCTAATCCTGTTGCTCTCCCTTGACCTGGACGATCCCAAGCCTGCACCGGAGCTCTGTGATCTTCAGTTTGGACATGCTCCACTTTCACTTTTCTTTCTTCAACACACTCTCTGATGTAGTGATAACGCAGATCAATATGTTTGCTCCTCTCGTGGTGCACTGGATTCTTAGTTAGCTCAATTGTTGACCTATTATCAACGTTGAGCTGCACTTTCTGTTTCTCAGTTCCAAGCATCTCTGAAACCAATAGCATAAAACATGTGGTAGCACTCCTGCATCATCATATTAGAGAATGCATATGAACTTGTCTTTTAATTATCGGTTGCGCTTCTAATTACCGCCCCTAGTACTTCTCTGCTGCGGTCCTTCACAATTTTCCGCCCCCACGTCGGTTGTGGCCTTGTCCGCCCCCACGTCGGTTGTGGCCTGGCCCGTCGGCTCGTCCGCATCGGCCGCGGTCTAATCTCCGCCACCCGCAGCCTCGCCTGCGGTCATGTCGCCGCCATCTGTGGTCTCATCTGCGGACTTATCTTCACCACCCGTGGCCATGACGCCACTGTTTGCGGTCTCGCCTGAGACCTCGACTACCGCCTCGTCCGCGATTTCATCCACGGCCCCTCCTAGTCCTCTTCCGCAACAGAGGTTGCGCGTCCGCCTCGACGTCGGGCTCGGCCCCCGCCTCCGCCGCCTCCGAACTCTATGGTTACGCGTGCTAAAGACGGGATACATCAACCGAACCCTCGCTATCACAATCTAAGCGTCACGGTCATCTCTCCAGTACTGCGCTCGGTGCGCTCTGCATTGAGTAATCTACACTTGCTCATGGCAATGCGTGTTAAGTTTGATGCTCTCG